GGGGGGGGGGGGGAAGATCTCCATTAAAGCAACTGACAGTGAGAATGGATGCAAACAGTTTTTCCAAACAGAGAATGGCCATGCTTGCATACTTATGCAACTGTACATTTCTACAGTTCACCATGGAATATTACTAGGTACTGTCCTACCTTAGAGATAAAATGATCATTAATGTGGCTGAGCTGTAATCATTTCAGTCATTCTGTTCAGGGTACACCTAGAGCTGGTTTATGTAACTCTAGGCCTCTCACTAGTTGATGCCTTTTGACATCAATGTGAACATTATTGGACTTCATGAAATAGTACACATTAGTACATAGATGACACTCTGATTATTAGTAATGTTCTCCAGTAAATTAGCTGAATAAAGTCTTGCTACTGTACATGCTGAGAGGCACATCACAGTCATGTTAGCTGTGTCATGGGACCCACCTCATACATTTCAGCATTTGGATTTGTAATTTATAGCCTACCTCATGCTTAAACCACTTAAGAAAATAAGTGTTCTTGTCCTTAAATCAGCACAGGTAGCTGATTAAATAGGCGTACGCACAGAATGCCTGCATACATCTATATCACTGAGTGCAGGTTTAAACTCCCATGCAACATCTCTTAAGAAAGCATTTTAACTGCTATGGGGGCTTCTCTACACCCACCCCGTGGAAAGTGTACCACTGTAGCAAAACATATACTGTTCAGAAGCCAAAGAGAGAAACCGAGAAGAATAAGGATCTCTGTAATAAACTCAGGCTGTGAATATGAATCTCAGAGCTACAAGTAAGGACCTTAGTCTGACCCTAGACTAGCAGAAATGTAGACATTCTCTCCATTTCCTCTTGTGGAAATTAGACAGCTTTCTACTAGCTTACTAGCATTTGGGAATCCCATTTCCATGCACGTAACTCTCCTTGCCTAAATAAATAATTTAGGCACCTAATTTGAGTTTTTAATTTATAGCCCAGGTCCCAAGTGCCAAAAATTCTGTTTTCTGGATCTGGGCCCTACTGATTAATTGCTAACCTTCGCAACCCTTCTAAGGAAGAAATACATGATTACCACATGCACTTGCAAGATTTACTCCTTTCTCCTTGGTTTCTTAATCTAAGGAAAATGCAGTTTAGATTTGGGGTCCATTCTTTATTTATAGAAATAGGACAAGCTAACTTTGATTAAAATTTAATCAAACACAACCTGACCCCAGATTAGGTCAAATGCATCTTTAAGACATGCTCCTTGAGTGCTCTTACACTTTCAAAGACGTCCTTTAGCCCCAACCCACCTCTGCAGTTTGACCACTGAGAACAGACTGAGATTGTTAAAGGTTGTCTCCCTGACCTCTAGAGAGGTCACACAACTCTTGCTAGCTCTTAGCAGAAGGGGTTTTGCCAGCTACAGGAGTCACCCTTGTCCAGCTATCTGCTCAGAAATGAAAGATCCCTCTTCCTCAAAAGAGGTCTCTCTGCATGGTCAAATGCTCTAAAAATCACACTTATCCTTTGATAATAAGTTCTAAAAGAAAGTAAATGAAAAGATTATTATAAAGCAAGAACAAACATAAGAAATCAGTAAACATATGTTGAGATACAGCCAGAGATAGAAATATAAACAAGCAACAGGAAATATCAGAGCAATAGTCTAATCTTACTCTGCATCTGAAACTGAAGAATTCAGCTTTTACTGAGTTCAATGGGTTAGAATGCAGCTTCTGCCACTGACCTTCCTGTCTGGGCTCCCTGCAACATCTTGGCCTCTGCAACAAGAAAGAGAGATCTTTACACCTCCCTGCCCTTCTGCCATCTGACACCACCAGGGAAGAGAAACTGCCTTATCTGCAAATCAAAGAGCAACTCACACAAAGGAACTCTCATGGACCCAGAGGAGCATACACTCATCTTCAGCTTCTTCTGTGCAAAATGGAGTTTATTTTCTGCCTAAGGGGACTTTTACCATCTTTAACTTCCCTTCAGCCTGAAGAAGGTCACATGAGCCTGAAAGCTTGCAAAGGACAATATTTTTTTTGCAAGGTTTTTGGCTGTAGCCATGTTGGGCTAAGGACATAAGCAGGCAACCTTCTTTGGGTAGATGGAATATATCTTTTATTACATCACTACTCAGTTGGTCTAATAAAGATATCACATCTACCTAAAGAAACTTGCCTGCTATAATTTTTTGTGCTATTTTCTATCTGGTAGAATAAAAGGTATCACCTCTGAACCAAGAATTTTAGAGTTTTGTATTCCTCTTTGTCTCAGACCAACACAGCTATACAACAGATCCTTTCTGCATGGTAATATGTGTTTTTAAGTGCAATACTTGCTGCATTTTATAGCTAACTGGCTTTTTCCAGGAAGTGTCATAGAGACCTTTTTATCAGTTTCATTTTTGGAAAATCTGTAACTATAAAAGCAGGAAAAATATGTTAACTGATTCCAAATACCCATGCACTGTATTCAGAAAATATTTAATTATAATTAACAACAAAATGACAATGACAACAAAACAGCTACAGCGATGATAATGAGAAGAAGAACAAAAAGAAGAACAAGAAGAACAGGAAAGATAGTTGGGCCTAAAAAGGATGTGTGTTCACCATGCTCAATTCTATACCAATACTTTGTAAAAAGATAGCCCCAGCCCCAAAGCAATAAGACACAGCAGGAGATAGCCTATTCTTCCTACTAGATACTTATTGTATTTGGCTGCTTGTCAAAAAATATGCTTCATTTCAAGAAAACAATCTTATCCCATCAGAGGAGAGCAATTTTTTCCATTCCCTCAAAACAACACTATGAATTTCAGAAAACCTAAGAATTAAGCAGGTTGTCACATACTCTTAGCTAATAAGAAATGCTAGGTGAAGAATATCTCTGAATGCCTACCCCTCAGATGTCTGACTAGACAAATAAGGAGGACTTACCCATTTGACCAGGAGGCAAGGTAATCACCCTGGAAGTAGGGACCCTGAGCTATAAGTCCGCTCACCATGGAAGAGTTTGAATTCTCCTTTCCCATTACCAAGGAAAGTGCTCTGGCCACCAGGTTATGGGCTAGGAAAGGCTCAGGCACTCTCCATTTTTCCTGTTAAAGCTGGGCCATAGGTCAGAAAGAAGAGAAAAAGCTGTGGGCACAGGAGTAAGCAAAGAGAGCGGTTAAGTGGGCTGTCAATTAAAGGCTTAATTTAGGCGTCTCAGTACTTGTTCCCTTTGATTAACAAGGAACTGGTAATATTAGGGGGGAAAAAGGTTGATTTTGTTTTATTTTGGGGAAGAACTTTCTTGTGATGTGTTACAGTATAAATAGAAAGGAAAATTTAGACAATCCATACTTGGTTGTATAGACAGTATATTAAAATACTTTTTAATGAGCATTTTGTCATTGACTTCAGTCATTTTTTAATCATTAAGATATACTGACTTGCCTTCATGTCCACTCTCTGGCTGCAAGTGGTCATGAAGACAAGTCAGGATATCTTAATATAGTCTATGAAATGTATGTTTTTTCATTTAGGAAATGTTCAAAGAAAGTATTATTTAAAAGTTACTGAAATCAATGGCAAAATACTCATTGATTTGAAGATGTCTTTGATTTTTACCTTAAGGTCCATACTTTAGGGAAGTAAGGAGATATTAGCATATACAGAAAGCGTATTAATTTTCCATCACTAAATCTTGGAGGTTAATCCCATATTCTTTTTTTTTTCTTAGTATTACTCTCACTTTAACATTATACTGCATTTTATCACATACCCAATGCCCCCAAATAAAACACGGACCTTGATTTTGGAAAGTAGATATAGTAATTGCTCAATGTGTGATATAGCATAAGTACTCATGAAAAAATAGGAGATAGTCTGGTTAATGCAGTAGGAATTTCCTGGTGTGGACTGTTGTTCTGCTGCCCAAATAAGATCCTGCTGCTTCACCCAGAATGTTTTCTGGTAGACTGCACTTCCTAGACACTCTATGTTTCCAGGACAACTATATGTTACAAAAGGTTAGGCCTCAGACCCTTACAAAGACAGTAGCAAGATAGTTACTTCCTTACTGTAAATAATTATTTATTAGGGCTGTGAAAATTTTCACCTGGCATTTCATTTCAAAGCTGTTTCAATGCGTTTCAAGCTTGAAACAGCGACACAGAAATGAAACAAAAGCCTTTGAAACAGCTTTGAAATAAAACAAGGGAACTCAAAATGTTTCAAAAATTTTGAAACATTTCAAATTTCAAAGCCAGGCGTACTGGCTTCAGAGCCCATCACAGCCAGCAGCACCCACCTCCTCTCATCCAGCAGGAAGATCAGGGGCTCACCCACAACCCTGGGAGGGCTGTGGGGGCTGTGCCAGAGTCCTCCTAGGGCTGTGGGCCCCCAATCTGCCTGCCAGATGAGAGACCAGTGCTGGGCACAGCCCACACACAGCACCAAGAAGATTGGTACTGCTACTGGCCCTAGGCAGCAGCACCTGCCTCCTGTTATCCAGCTGGCAGATTGGGGGTCCGCATCCCCGGGAGGACTTCAGCACAGCCCCTGCAGAACTCCCACCAGGGGTGTGGGCAAGCCCCCAATCTGCCTGTCAGATGAGAGGAGATGGGTGCTGCTGGCTGGGACTAGCAGCAACACCGATCTTCCCAGTGCTGGGTGCTGGCTGCACTGAGCACTGTTCCAGGTGGCAGGAGAAGCCTCCTGTGATCTGGCAAGTAGATCAGGGGCTCATCTGCATCCCTGGGAGGGCTGTAGGAGCTGTGCCAGACTCCTCCCAGGGATGTAGGCCCCTGATCTGCCTGCCAGATGACAGGAAGCTGGCGCTGCCACCTGGGGCCAATAGCAACACTGATCTTCCTGGCACTGGGTGGGTGAAACAGCAAAACAGCAAAACAGTTTCAACAAAACAAAACAGAACATTGCTTTCAAAATGAAACAAAATTGAAATGATACACTGTTCCATTGAAATGTAGAAACAGACGTCAAAGCAGAATGATGCTTTTTCTCACAATCCTATTATTTTTATACGTTTTGGTAAATGAAGTGTTGTTTCCATATGACAGACCTTATCAAGATAATACAGACTGTTTGCTGCAGCTTACTTGCTGCTTTAGGCACAAACTATAGTTCTCAGCCAATACCAGCTATGAGAGAGGTAACAGTGGAATCTATCCCTTGTGTTCTCAGGGTCAAAGGGAAGTAGCAGTCATTTTGAAGCAAGCAGACCCTGTGTTCTCATGGTTGACAATCACCCCTGCTTCTATTCTAGTGAAGAAAAAATAGCCTCCCCACTTAAGACAGGTGCTCCAATTTGGGAAGGGAGGCTGATTCTGGGGGGAAAGGTGCATGTGGTATGCATGCAAATAAATATGGTATACACCTACATTATCATATGAAACTGTATTCATTGTTGAAGTAACTCTACCATAGTCAAAAAGCCATGTTCTCTTCTATTCTCTGACTACATTATAGTACTTGGGTAATTAAAGTTCTGTCCAGGGATAGTGGGCAATCTGAAACAAAATATTTAGACATGAAAGACATAAAATAAATAACAAGAATACTAAAGGCATTTTGACTACTTCGGCCAGAGTGCCTATACAATACAGGTATGATACCTTTCTTCCCTTCCTTTTGTGGAGTCTAAATTAAATAATATTATTTTCTTTTCTTAAATGTCTGATATATGTTTTTATCTATATCTACGTATATTGTTAATATATATGGCAATTATCATGCTAACCAGAATGGATAAACTATAAACAAGTATTAGTTTATTAAGTAAGAACAAATTGCATACAATATATGGGGCCTTTTTTCCTCTAGACTTCATTTTACTAGAACAGCTAATCAAGCAAATTCAAGCATCTCTTTTGGAAGCTAAAATATTTCCTTGATACAGCAATAAACAGAGCTATATAAAATTTGTTATTGGCAACAAAATGTTACAACATCATTACAATTAATAGAAAAGAGTGACATAAATGTGGTGGGTTTTGATCCATTATTAAGAAGATTTGTATCATTTAATGATATGTTTATAGAAAATAGTGGTTGGCTTTATGAGCATAGTCTACTTTTTAATGAGGGAAGGGTTATACCAAGCAATATGTTGAAAAACAAGGAGCTTAATTAAAACAAAAGAACTAACTAAAATAAATGTCTTTCAATGTTCTGTGATAGTCAAATGTTTTACAGAGAAAATGTACATTTTTTTCAAATAAGTCTCTCAGAACAGAATAAACTAAAAATAATACTTCAGGATGCAACTTTCTCTTCAAGCATTGCAATATAATATTGGAAAGAGGTGTTAGTTAAGGCACATATTATATGGGTAGGGAAATATTGGATTTGCCTTATGGTTCAATACATAGCTTGAACTACATAACTAAAAGAAAAGAGAAACTACCTATTTTCACCTTCTGCTCTAGTGTTAGATGCAGAACAAGAAGGGACGTGTTGCCTTAGAGGTTTTGTCACATTTCCATGACCTTAGGCTCAATGCTAGAGGTGCTCAAAAAATCAAAACTCCTGTCTTTTGGGAATTCTAATTTATCTGGTTTTATTCTGATTTGAAAGGCAAGTTCAGGGTTTTGTTTTCTTCCCAATTGATGAGAAAACCTGAAATATGGTTTTCTTGCATCCTTCTCCCCACGGGATTTGAACTGCATCTCTTCAACCGCCATGCAACAGGTTAAGCATTCTTCAGTGCTCTGCTTGAAGCTGAGCCACCACACATTGCATTTAATAGTTACTGGAAGCTCATGATTGGCAATATAAGCAGGGGATCCTTTCCCCTAATGTGACCTGTTGCAGAGCCCTCTGTTGGTTCCAGCTGTAGAAGAATGCCACCCTACTCCATGCATCCTTCTGGGTCCCAGGAAGGGTGCATAAGTTAAGAGGCAGAGGATAAATGAGGCTGCAGGAAAATCATGCCCATCTCTGCTTAGGGGAATGCTGACACATGCAGAACTAGGATGATCGTGGTCTGTTTAGTGGTTGGAAAATAACTGGAGCCAAGAGAGAGACAGAAACTGGAATTTGAGATAGGGAAGGGACCAGGCCTCAGTAAAACACAACTCGATTCAGGATTACAAATGACAGTGGTGTTATTGAACAGGGGAGATGGTGGCACAATATTTTATTGGTTCCTTTGCACACACATACACAGACACACACACACACACACAAATAATGGCAGCGGGGGTTAAAGAGGCTTGGTGCAGGGACTGAAGTCTGAGAGGAGAGATAGAGTCCAAATTGGAGGAGGAAATATGCAGGTGATATCTACCTATCCCAGGCTGAAAGTGGGTCCTCAATAGCCAGTTGGGGTCTCCTTCAGCTCAGTGTTGTCCAGAGGGGGGTCGCCGGCAGGGCCTCTGGGGTGCATAGGTGGTGTGACATGGAGCTGGTCTGGTCCAGATAGAAATGGCATTCCCAAAGAGTCAGTCTTCACTACTCCTTTTTATGGGGCAGACTACTCTGACCTCCTGTGGGGAGGGCCTGTCTATGCAATGTCAGTCCTGTTCCAGAGGGTTCCAGATGTTCTTACTGAGCATGTGCAGCCTTGGCACAATGGTGGGTTGCCTCATCTTTTGTTTCTTTTAATGCTGAGGGTGTTTCCAATGGCTGGGTCCTTGATCCAGGTATAGGTGTTGATGGTTTGGTCATTCAGAGGGAGCTATTTTAGACCTCCTGCCATTGTCTCTCAAGCACCCTTTATTCATCCCAATTCATTCAGAAACCAAGTTTCATAAGAGGGATAGGTGTGAGTCATGGGTTACTTAGCAGGGCCTGGGGATAGGATGAAGACTTGACAAACAAAATGGAAACTTTACATGACTTATGCTAACTTACATATGTAGGCCTAAATCATATAGTATCAGTAAAACAGTAATATAGAACAGTAAAAATCAAAAACATAATAATTATACAATACAAAGGAGGAGAAAAAACAAAACAAATACAACTTGCTACCAAAATAAAATGCTGAAGGTTATCCTATGTCTTAGCTCACTTATACTTATCTGTAGGGGATAGAGAGGTAGAGAAAAAGTCAGAAATGGCTGGGAAAGGGGAGGGAATACATTTTAAAGGGGAAAAAAACTGGGGGGGTTTGCTAAAAAAGAAAAACTGGGGGTTTTGCTACAGTTTCATGGGCTGTGTGTCTGTGAGGGAGCTCACCCAAAGCTGTCTCCATTCTGAATAAAGCTGTTGCGAGCAATGTGTGCTGGTGTTTGCTCCCTGCTTCCTCTGACTAATGAGTACCAGAATCCAGGTCAGGTTGCTTTCTCCCCTTCAAACCTATTGGGATTGGGTCATGCCTCTTTCTCCCCTGGGGATGGGTTGGGGACTAGCCCTGCACCCCTCCCCCACTGAGCTGGGCTACCCCCCCCCTTTCCTTTTGGCAGGGCCAGGTCTAGCTCCTTTCCCCTGCAGGGCTGCGCTGTCCCCCCCTGCCCCCCCTCCATGGCTAGATGGTGCCTGTCATGCCACCTGGGACCAAATTAGGAATAGTGTCTGGATCTGGCCCATGGATGTACGAGACACTGCCAATCCAGCCCACAGGGCAAAAAGTTTGGGCATACTGGCCTATGCGTATATGTTTATGTGAGGGAGGGCCAAAAATCACTAGGTATACATCCAAAAATCCACCAAGGGCCTGAAGGGAAATAGAATCCTATCCTGAGACTTCAACATCCATGCACTGTAGCAGTTCAGGTGCACAGGGTTATCCTGAACTGGCCTAATACCAAGCATTTAATTTTGGTGAAATATAACAACAATTGTATTCAACATACCATTCTGAGACAATCTGATTTTAAAAATGAAATATTTTATTTGTATTATTCCTAATAGAAAAATTTTAATTTCTGCAAAAATAAATAATTTATCTTAAAAAGCTTCAGTATTCCAGAAACACCTTTTTCCTTGTAAGGGAAAAAGAAAATCTGTGAAGTTTCATGCCAGCAGTATGACCCACCCACTGTCTCAAAGAGGAAAGAAATTGGAATGAATTCTACAGCCATTAATCCTCTAATGTCCTCAGATAAGAGGGATGAAAAAGAAGAATCATAAACTCCCCACCATAAGGAGAAGGAGAAAAAAAAATCACACAATTCAGGAGCTCTCACTAAGCATCAAAAAACATTCCTATCACCTCTGCTATTCACCTGGTAAAGGGAAGACTGAAAACTCTACCTATTTGCAGGGACCTTGAAAGCATAAAGCATTAAAAGTGAGGGGATCAGGAAAAAGGCATTTGAAGGCAAGCCTTTTATAGTTGCCTATCTGCACCTCAACTATGACCCATTTGGGTTGATGGAAATAAGTAATAAGTATACATATTAAGTAAGAAGAATACATATTGTTTAGTGAGTAAAATCACAGTGGTGGCAGAAGCAAAAGCAGAACCTTTGAGCTCTAAATATTTGGCCAGATTGCTAGCAAGAATATGTGCCATTCCCATGCACTGGTTATCCACATACTGAGAGAGAATATCACTCATGTTCAAATGTGGAGACATTGTAGGGGAGAGAATGTTAGAGCCAAAGTATCAGCCACAGTCCCCTGGAATCCCTAAAAGAAATGTCACCAGGATTAATTGATTTTGACTGAATGGACCGAGTCAGCAGAGTAGCTCAGCACCAATATACATAAATCTGGCAAGAAAAAAAACAAAAGAAAACATCAGGACAGTTTTTCATCTGAAAATACTGATGAAACATTCCACAAAATATGGTCTAGTAAAAATGTAAATGGGAAAGTGTAGAAAAATGGTTTTGGTGTCTTTATTGTATTTGATTATTATTGTATCCCACTAACATCTATGGCCATGTGTAGATAAAATGAGGGTGAAATTGGGGCAGGTGTGCACAACACTTTAAAGCAGCTTAAATGCTTTTGCACCACTTTAAAGGTGTCAGTGTTTGCATGCATTAGCAGTGTATTGCACAGCAATTCCAGCCACCATAGCAAATTTGGCAGTGTAATGTGTCTTAAATCTCCTCTGAGGAGATTTAGTTTGCTGCCCTACAGCTGTGAAGCACTGGGATCCATTCAGCTCAGGAGCTCTGCAGGAAGCCCTGCAGACAGCCTGGCAGCAGCCAGGGAAGGCAGGCTCTACCCAAGAAAAGTGGCAAGCCTGACCTTTTTTTTCCATCCCCCTGGAGCCTGCCTGAGCTGTGTGGGGGCCTGATGCTCCATCTGTAGCTGCAGTGTCCCTCGGGACCATGTGTGCTGGGTGCCTGGGGGCGGGTGCCACTGTGGGGAGGCCACCGCTGCCCTGGAAGGAAGCACCAGCCCCTGCAGCCCAGGGACAGCTCCACCCAGTGGCAGCTCGCCTTCCCCTCCTTGCCACCAGAGAGGCAGATAAATCGGATGTGTGCACAACGCAGGCATTTAAAGGACCCTAAATTGAAATGGTGTTTTTAAAAACCCAGCACTTCAATTTAGAGCCCCCATTTCATCTACACACACCCTACATGCTCATTTTTCATTAAAGAAAGGCTTCATTTTACTTTATCATTTAAATATTATATTTGATATGTTAGTAGTATATGTAATTGTCAAAATGATATCACCTTGTTAACTATTTTGATATTATTTACATTGAATGATTCATCAGTGTTGAAACAGATGTTTCAAGGTATTTGGTTAATTAAAAAAAAATCTTCCAGAAAAAAAAAAAGAGATGTATAATAGTAATCATTAACATGACCACCATGTTTCAGCTGGCAAAAAAAGCTCACAATCAATTAAATGAGACACAAAACAAACCTATGATTCCCAGTTGGGACTTCACTTACAAGGAAAGTGTTAATTTGACAGCAGTCACTAGCTCAAAAATGTCAGGGAAAAGGCAGGTTTATGGTGATCCTCAAGATGAACAATCCCTTTATGGCTGCCCCCAAAGGTAGACTACTTTACTTTTGTTAAAGGTTGGAACAGCATGCATACTAAGAATCTGTGATGAGGTTGCCTTCATTCACCGTACAGTCCAAAAAATACAGAAATACTTATATACAGTCACAAGAAAAATAAGAGAAGGAAAAAGCTGTGGGAGGTGGGGAGGAGATAAAGCAAAACACTAACATCAGAGTGCTATCCACTGATGCAATTATTTATTTTGTATATTCTATAGTACAGTGATTTCCAAAGGGTGAAGAGGGTGCAAGTTGCTGTGAGATCCCCCTGTGTGAGGAGATAAATACTCTTCTCTCCCACTCAGCACTCTGTGCCTGTTCCAGGTACTGCAGCTGCTCCTCTTGGGTTTGCCACTGATGCTGCTACTTAATCCCATCTTTCCTTGTTCCCAGGCATCCCCTGTGCCTTGTGCTCCCTGGAGTACACTTAGATACAGGTGGGAGGACAAATGCACAGAGCTTCACTTTGCAGCTCGACTGATCTCCCCTACCTCCAACCCCAGTACTTCTGTGCTCCTGGGGCTGGCAGGAGGAACCATAGGCAGGAGTCAACAGTATGTGAGACCTTGCAAGAGCAGCCTTAGCAGCAGGGGCTATCCTTGTTTCTGAAGGTACAGACCAGGGGTTGGGAGAAGGGAAAGAGAATGGCACGGCAGGTGAGGTCTTGCTCTTACCACCCACAAGTGGGACTAGATAGGTCAGTGATTCTTAACTATTTTAGTTTCAAGGCACCCTTCCATATCCTTTCTGAATTTAGATCTATCTCAGTAATTTTCGGGTGGGATGTTGTGACTTGCAGAACAGTTATGGGGTTCTTTTTTTAATAGAACATTTCATCATTGGTATGATGTCCTCTGTCAGGAATATGTTATATGTTTCATTCGTTCATTCTATCTATCTATCTATCTATCTATCTATCTATCTATCTATCTAACTTTTTGGGTGTATGCATGAAGTATACCACCAGTTTTTATTGCACACTTTCTTCCTAAAATCTGAACTACTGTCTGACAACCAGTTTCTAGATATTCACAGAATATTTCTCAAAGACTATTAAATACAAACAAACAGCATGAATCTGTAATCGCTTTCAATAGAAGCCCACTGATTACTTTTTTCTCCACAGGTGAAACATGACTGACTGCCTCAGTGGGGAAAGACGTGTGTTTCATTCATTGCAGGAAACAGTGCTCTACATGCATCAGCTAAAGGCAGACAAAGGTGAATTTCTCTTTGAAAGCATTCTTTGTATATTTAAACTTTCATAAGTTGAATCCACTACTGTGTAGAGTAGATTAAATGTGTTTTAAAAAGATATTCTAAGTCAATGTTGGGCACTTGAAAGAACAGGTTTCAGAAACCCAGTTTTACACACATGCAAGCCTTTTCATAGTGATATCTTCACCTGCTGGAGAGATGTAAAGCAAGAAGTATTCACATTTAGAATTCATTTAAGTTTTGACTACTATAGTTTTTCAGCAAACTAACAAGTGGAATTATTTTACCCAATGAGAATGTTTACTTTTTGGCAAAACTCAGATCTTGAAATATTTAGCTTCAAACAAAACTATGCCAAAATATGCCTTCATAGAGCCTACTGCAAATCATAGTTAAGGTGCCTCATACCATTATTCACCTCTGTATTCTGGACTCCCTGGCTGGACTGTTACATTTGAACTACAGCTAAACCTCAGGTGGCTGGAGCAGCAACAATAAGCAAGGATTCAGGCCATTCCAGTCATGCAGGATACATTGATTTATTGACAGATCAAACAAAACAAAATGAAATAATCAGATACATAAGTATAGCTGGGCAAGAGGGAAAAAGAGGAACCAAAATGAGATAACCTCAAAACGTGAAGACTGGACATGAACAAGAATCAACAACTGAAAAGGGTGATAAAAGTTGGTAGGATAAAGGCAAACAAATGATAAACAACTGCAAGGGAAGCAGAAATGTTCAATAAATTTTTCTGTTCTCTATTTGAAGAACATCAGTCCAGCCCCATCCCCTACAAGCACCACTGGGCTTGGCACATAGCTGGCATGACCAGGCTTAGTGCTCGGCATCCCCATTCATGGCAGATGGTGCTGTGCTGAGCACTCAGCTGGCACAGCCCAGGCAGCGCCTCTCACGGAGGATGGGGCTCTGCCAAACGAGAGCCAAGCCTGGCCCTATCCCCATCCATTGCGAATAGTGCTGGGCTTAGTGCTTGCCTGGCACAGCCCAGGGAGCGCCACTCACAGGTGAAGGGGACATGCCAGCTGAGTGCAAAGCTTGGCCTTGTCCTCTGTGCTTGGCACTGTGGCATGTGTCCACAACCCTGGGTGCTCCATCCTCAGTGAAGGCATGAAGGCCCAGTATAAGTTGACCCCATATTTCTGATCCGGAAAGTTAGGTCAACATTGTAACTTTCTGTGTCCATCTTTGGCTTCTTGCATAGGTTTCCTGATACGGGCAGGACTGTCTTCTGTCTTATGGGTTGACAGCTTGTCCTAAGGTGGAATTACCAGGACCACCAACATTTTTTTCCTGCCATGACTTTGATGATGCTTAATATTTCAAGGGATGTTAGTGTTCAGTTCAGTGGTATATAGTCATCCCAGCACTTGGGATGCAAATATGGGGCTCCTCCTCCCCTACACCCTACCTAGCACCAACCCATTGGTTCATAGATGTTTAACATTAAAGGTACCTTCTCTAGCCTTTACTATTACATTCTGGAAACTCCAGGGGTTCTTTTGTTTTAATAATGTGTCCTACTGTGAGACAAAGTCCAACTCCAAGCAATCCCTCAATAAGGAAAACAGGAGAAGCAGCTGCCACAACTCCTCCACTTCACTCACAGTTTTCATAGTTTCATAGTTTCTAGGGTCGGAAGGGAACTGAGCAGATCATCTAGTCCGACCCCCTGCCATGGCAGGATAGAGCACTGGGGTCAAACGACCCCAGTAAGGTGGTCATCCAACCTCCTCTTAAAAACCCCCAGGGTGGGAGCCTGCACCACCTCACTT